TTTGTGTCCTCTCTTATTTCCTTGAGCAAGGTTTATAGTTCTCCTTGAAGAGGTCCTTCACACCCCTTGTAAGTTGTATTCCTAGGTATTTTATTCTCTTTGTAGCAGTTGTGAATGGGAGTTTACTCATGATTTGGCTCTCTATTATTGGTGCATAGGAATGCTTGTGATTTTTGTACATTGATTTTGTATCCTGAGAGTTTGCTGAAGTTGCTTATCAGCTTAAGGAGATTTTGGGCTGTGACGGTGGGATTTTCTAAATATACAATCATGTCATCTGCAAAGAGAGACAAATTGACTTCCTGTTTTCCTATTTGAATACCCTTTATTTATTTCTCTTGCCTGATTGTCCTGGCCAGAACTTCCAATACTGTGTTGAATAGGAGTGGTGAGAGAGGGCATCCTTGTCTTGTGCCGGTTTTCAAAGGACTTCCCAACACATTTAAACTTAACTATCAATGGCTGACTGTTGGTCAGAAGCCTTACTGATAACATAAACAGTTGATGTTTATGTTATTGGTATATTGGCATATTACATGCTGTATTCTTGTAATGCTATATACTATTTTCTTTTTCTTTTTCTTTTTTTTTTTTTTTGGAGACGGGGTTTCGCTCTGTAACCCAGGCTGGAGTGCAGTGGCATGATCTCCGCTCACTGCAAGCTCTGCCTCCTGGGTTCACGCCATTCTCCTGCCTCAGTCTCCTGAGTAGCTGGGACGACAGGTGTCTGCCACCATGCCTGGCTAATTTTTTTTTTTTTTTTTGTATTTTTAATAGAGACAGGGTTTTACCATATTCGCCAGGATGGTCTCAATATCCTGACCTCGTGATCTGCCCACCTCAGCCTCCCAAAGTGCTGGGATTAAGGCGTGAGCCACTGCGCCCAGCGCTATATACTGTATTCTTACAATAAAGTAAACTAGAGAAAAGAAAATGTTATTTAACATACAGGAAATATAAAATATGTATTTTTTTAATTAAAAAAATTTTTTAAGAGATGGGGGTCTAGCTGTGTTGCCCAGGCTTATCTCAAACTCCTGGGCTCAAGTAATCCTTCTACCTCAATTTCTGAGTAGCAGTAGCTGGGACTACTGGTGCATTCCACCATGCCAGGCTCTGAGAAAATATGTTTTCTATTTGTTAAGTGGAAATAGATTATCATAAACATCTTCATCTTTGTCATCTTCACATTGAGCAGGCTGAGGAGGAAGAGGTGGTCCTAGTGTTGCTGTCTCATGGGTGCCAGAGGCAGAAGAGATAAAGGAGGTAGGAGGCAGGAGAAGCAGGCACACTCAGTGTAAATTTTATTGAAAAAAAAAATCCACGTATTGGACCTGTGCAGTTCTAAATCCATGTTGTTCAAGGGTGAACTGCAATTTATTACTCAAACATGAAGAAAACATTCCGTCAAAATGTATCCTAAGTATTTTGATTATGCTGCCTACATTCTAAGTGCACTACAAATGTGACGTAACTAATAAACTTTCTTCAACGATTTAAGAAAGCCTCAGAAGAGGCTGTACTAACCAGATGCATAGCATCTTTGCTAAAAAAAAAAAAAATTATAACTGTCTAATACTGACTTAGTAAATAAAGAAAATGACCATATTGAAAACACCCTTACTGATTTTAAGTACTGTCACAGGAGAAGAAAGATAGTAATTTATCATCAATAATAGTTACTGCTATTCAACTGAGATATGGTTTAATATTACTAACAAAATTGTTCTTAATTTTCCATACAATTTTTACCTTTTTATGTAGTGTTAGGCCTAACATTCTATTAATAATTGTTCTATATATTTAAGCAAAATAAAAACATTTGAGAAATAGAAAATGCATATAAATACTATTCGAATGAGGAAAGTAGTGATTCCAATATTTCTACCTTTTCATAATTTAAGACATTTCTAAAATTGTGTGAAATATAGTTTATATAATTTAATAGACATAATGAACCAAGAATAATAATTACTTTTTGAAAACATGTTTGTTTCATGACCCTGCCAGAGGTGTAGCAAAGTTGATGAGGTAATTATAAAACAGTTTTGCAGTTTGTCTCATGTTTTTTTACAGATAAAATGAATACCTGCTTATGAAATAACACAAAACAATCTTTTTTTCCAAGTATTTGATTTGAAGAAAAAACTAGTATGAGTAAATTCAGCATTGTTGATTGTAAGTGAATCTTTTTTTTTCTTTAGCGCAAACTCCTACTTGTGTGAGTAGGTGAATCTTTTAAAGGTAATTTCACATATATCTGTGTTGCTGGAAGAAACCTCTCACATTTCTGTCAGCACTTGAATGCCAACAGTCCTGTTGTATTTCCCTTAGTAGAAAAGGGGAGGGTGTTTGGACATAACATTACCATAATAGTTTTGAACTGTTTGAACTTCTAAACAGCTGCGGCAGTTGTTTAGAACATACGGTTCCTTTAAAATTGTTGAATATAATAATGTTCAGGCCAGGTACAGTGGATCACACGTATAATCCCAACACTTTGGGAGGCTGAGGAGGGATGATCACTTGAGACTGGGAGTTCAAGACCAGCCTGGGCAACATGGTGAAACCCCATCTCTACAAGAAATACAAAAATTAGCCAAATGTGATCATGTGCACCTGCAGTCCCAGCTACTTGGGAGGCTGATGTGGGAGAATAACCTAAGCCTGGGGAGGTCGAGGCTGCAGTGAGCCGTGGTCACACCACTGCACTCCAGCCTGGGCAACAGAGTGAGACCCTGTCTCTAATAATAATAACAACAATAATGTTCATAGATTCTCAGTAAAAATTAGTTGAATTTAATCTAAGACAACTTCCAAATCTTGTATGGATGCTTATAGTATGTTACTTTGATTTGTAGGTTTATTTATAAAGCACTGTTGATTTGAAAAATACTATGGTATGTGCTTCCTTAAAGTTTTCTTATTCTTAGTTTCTTTTATGGATTATTTTTTTCTATTTGCCTTTTAAATATTGGTATTATCTAAGATTCTATCCTAGGGTCTCTGTCTGTGCTACATACTATATATTGTCTAGGCAGCTGTCTGTCTGCTATTTGAACCTTTATTCTCAACTGTACACCTGTATGCCCAATGATCTTATATCTCCTGGATGACCCAGGCTGTCCAACAATGTATTCAATATTAAGCTCATTATCTTTTTCTCTCCCCATTTTCAGTTCACACCTCCCCCCAGAATAAAAGAGTATGTATATTTGCATATAAATACATAACACATATATATATCTATCTCTCATATATGTACTTCTTTTTTGGAAAGCCCACTGCTAGTAAGCAGCAGGCCTGGAATTTTTAATTCAGGTTTTTTGAATGCAAATCCTCAGCTCAGAGTGTACTCTATGTAACATGGTGTCCATGTCTGTTCAACCAAAATCAAAGATGCATGCTCTGACAATATTTGAAGTCTGCACTTGTTGCTGTAATTATACCACATTGCTTTTCATCTTACTTTATTAAGTTGTCAGCATCATAGGGGACACTAATAACCACACATGCAATGTAAAACTGCAATTATGATAAATATAATGAGACATGTAGTATAAGATAGGTGCATGTATATTTTTTAAAAGATGGCCAGGCGTGGTGGCTCATGCCTGTAATCCCAGCACTTTGGGAGGCTGAGGTGGGTGGATCACGAGATCAGGAGTTCGAGACCAGCCTGGCCAAGATGGTGAAACTGTGTCTCTACTAAAAATACAAAAATTAGCTGGGTGTGGTGGCGGGTACCTGTAATTCCAGCTACTCAGTAGGCTGAGGCAGAGAATTGCTTGAACCCAGGAGGCAGAGGTTGCAGTGAGCCGAGATCACACCACAGCACTCCAGCCTGGGTGACAAAGCGAGACTCCATCTCCGAAGAAAAAAAAGCTGGAGGGAAACAGATGATTTGTTCTAGTCAGAGCTATCAGATGCTTCCCTGGGTAGCGACTGAGTTGAAATGTAAAGGTTGGGTGGGGAAATGAAAGACTGTTCAAGATAGGTAAGATAGCTTGCACAAAGACTTGGGGGTTAAGAGAGTACATGCTGTATGTGTAACTACTCCTGTGCAGAGTATTTGCAGTCTTGCTAGAGATTTCATGCTCCTCATTTCCTTCTTTCCTCTCCTTTTCTTGCATCCTTATTCATATATATGTATATGAAAATATATATATATTTGAATATATATTAGAATATATAGATATTTGAATATACAGAGATATATATATATTTGAAACTGAAGTTTGCATTAAATAGAGAATACTAGGAAGCAAAATGTAATTGCTTTGGAAACCACATAGTAGATAGGTGATTTTAGAGGAACCATGAAATTTAAGGGAAAAGCATAGCCATGTGATAAACATAGTTTCTAATGCAACACCGAAAAGAAAAAGGATTTGTGGTAGTATTGTTTCTACTCTTGTTAAGTCATATAAGCATTTATAATCACTGCACCGCTACATTTTTATAAACCAGAGAATAACTAAGTTGGGTAATAAATTTCAAAACCTTTTCTTAACTTATAAGTAATTCTAAGTTCATTTTTTTACTGTGAAGTTTAGTATTCCATGCAATCTTTGTGTGAGAATTAATTTAGGCTGTAGGAATTCTATTAGAATATAAAGTGACTTTTGAACTACACTAAAGTATTCTGTGGTCTGTGCTATTCTACACTTGTTGACTCTTTATTCCTTTGTTCTTGATATGCATATGTATTATCCTTCATAAGGAATTCTGCAGCTTTGGTCCTCAAAACATTTCTTCAACAGCTCTTACCCAGTTCTTGAATAGGAAGATTATGTTCCAGGCTGTACAGCTGTTTTAGAATCAACTAGATCCTCTTAGAAACCCAAGCAATTTACCCATGTTTTCCACATGCCTTGGTTCTTTGCTTTGGTTTTTTGTTTTCTTTTTTGTATCTTTTCTAATCATGGTTCAAAGTTCAGTGCTCATAACTTCCTTATAGTGTCCTTAAAAACTTAGTTTGTATCTGTTTTTCTTTGCAGAAAGGGCTATTGCAAGACATGAAGTCCGAGAAATTGAGCAGCGACATACAATGGATGGCCCTCGGCAAGATGCCACTTTAGATGAGGAAGAGGATATGGTGATCATTTATAACAGAGTTCCCAAAACTGCAAGCACTTCATTTACCAATATCGCCTATGACCTGTGTGCAAAGAATAAATACCATGTTCTTCATATCAACACTACCAAAAATAATCCAGTGATGTCATTGCAAGATCAGGTAATTACCACTTAAGGAATGCCCAAATGTTTTCTAAAACTTCCTCACTCAAATTTTCTAGCTCAAGGGGATAAAGTATTTTAAAGGGATGTGAGTTCTGATCTCAATGGATCATAAGCCTTTTAGGGGAGAGGGCCAGCTAACTTTTGTATAATTTTACTCGACAGTATTTGACACATTTCCTTGCATATAGTATGTACTCAAATATTTGTGAAGTAAATGATTAATGAATAGCTTGAATTTTTGAGGAGAAAATTGATGTTCCTCAGCGTAGTATCCTTTTAAAAATATAATTTTGGCATGATACCCTGCAATAAAAATTATTGTCTCAACTTATGACAGAGAAATATTTGATGGATACTTGTACTCAATTTTGTCACCAGTCCCTCTTTACTGGATATAGATAGAGATACAGAGAGAGTTTATATATATAGCTTATAAATGTATATATAGTTTATGTATATTTATGTATACATAAAAGCTATAAAATCCTCAAGAACAGGGATTGTGGCTTCTTCAACATCTTACCTTTTAAATTCTCAAGAAGTTTTAGATAAACAAATGAATAGATAATTTTGTGAAATGGCTTTAAGAAAAGTAGAGGAAATTATCTTATGAAATAAAATTTGCTCATCTCTTTAATAGTAGTAGCATACATTTCTCCCACACTTGGAGTTTTGATTGCAATTATAAAGTTCTCTCTATAAATATGGAAGGGCATGGGAATTCCACCCCATGAGAAGGAAAGATAATGTTTGAAAATACTACTTAGGATCAAATGCCAAATTGGAGTAAGCTTATTAGAAAGGTGTTCGTGATGGTCCTGTAGTTATAACGATATTTATGTGTTTGAACTTGTTACAGAATTGACTGTTATCTCACTATTTAGCATAACTATAATCCTTACACTTAAACAAGAGAATTACATTGACACATGAGACTAAGGTTGGCTTTCTTGCTAGAGAGCTGTTTATAAAGGCTAGTGGTATATGGTATGTCATCTGCCCATGTAATTTTTGGCTCTTTGCAGGATCCTGGAGTACTGTTTTTCATAGAATCAAAATTCCACATCTGTCGGCCAAACCAAATAACTCTTCTATAAATGGGAAGAAACATGAGCTGTTTTTAGCTATGTGTGTCATAAAAACTATTCATTATGTAATATTGTGTATCTCAAGGGCAAGTATCCTAAATATTCTGTTTTTATACAGTGTGTAGTGGGTTTTAAATCTTTTGGCATTATCGCTTTTCAAAATATGCTTTGGTTTAAAAGGAATATATATTCATGCTTAGATAATAATTTCAGATTTATTCAGTAGTACGTTTTAGAAAAATAATGTTAATTTGTTTGTTCAGCATTACAAAGTTTCCTGGTAACTACAAGATGTCTGGCAATGACATCAACCATTATTTTCATGAAATGTAAATCTGGAGGAGCTCACCACATATGACATTTATAGGTATCATGTAGTATATTTTCCCAGTTGCATTTGGATGAGATAAAACTTCTGTTTTTCTTTTAGTAACTTGTTAGTTATATATAGGATAAAAAGCAGGAGAGAAACATAAATGCTATCTTAAAAGCAATTGGATTACAGAATGACCAACACTTAAAAAATGTTTGTATGGGGCAGAGTAAAAGAATAGTCTTAATCATTAGCTGACATACTTCAAAATACCAGCTGGTAGTTCAAAACCTGATCTTAATTAAGGATGGCTTACTTAACAAATGTTCTTTATATACCCTATCTCCAGTTTTGTGATCTCTTGTTCTATGTAGACACAGTTCTTCAAACAAGTCATATTTACTGCTTCCCTTTCTTTCATGTGACATGTTTTCGTGTTTACTTCACTTTTAATCTAGTAAGCTTCATCTAAATGTAAACTCTCAAAATTGCACTGTATGTTTTGAAATAATTTTTAAATTATTTCATGTTATATCAGAACCCCATCTGATATAACATTTTTATTTTAATATCATGTTTTGTTGTCTGTGTGTACTGTTCTCAGCTACCTTTTTTTTTTAAATTTTTTATTTTTATTTTTGGAGGCAGAGTTTTGCTCTTGTTGCCCAGGCTGGAGTGCAGTGGTGCGATCTCAGCTCACTGCAAACTCCGCCTCCCACGTTCAAGCTATTCTCCTTCCTCAGCCTCCTGAGTAGCTGTGATTACAGGCATGCGCCAGCACACCCAGCTAATTTTTGCATTTTTAGTAGAGACTGAGTCTCACCATGTTAGTCAGGCTGGTCACAAACTCCTGACCTCAGATGATCCGCCCACCTCGGCCTCCCAAAGTGCTGGGATTACAGACGCCTGGCCTGTCAGCTGCTTAAATAAGAATTAAATGAACTATTTTGCTCTTCTTTCTTCTCTAAGAAATAGTTTCTAATCAAGTACAACTTAAAAGATGAGATATTTCTTAAATCTGTTATCTCAAGCTTCCATGTAAAGCTCAGTTTACTCATAAAAATATTTTGAGATATGTTACCTGATCATCCTCTTTATTCCCTCACCTTACAATCTTAGTTCAGTCTGCTTGATATCTACCTTTAGCCTCAGCTTTCCTACACATTTTTTGTACATATTGTATTAGGTATTGTTCTAAACTGTTTATCTGCTTAATTACTTCTCTCAAAAATTTTAGAGGCAAAGCCCAAATATTTTTAGTCTGGTATAAAACCACTCAGTGTATAATAGTTATATGTATTCTGCTATCCTTAGAAATAGTTGTCAACTCTCCTTTTGAGTTTTTCATTTATTTATTGTGTATGTAATATACACAAAGGTTGTACTACATTTTTTGGGTAAATACCAAAGAAATAGAAAGCATGGCCACATCCTTGAAGGTACTTATTTAAAATTTACTTGAGAACATAAAACATAAACACAGGGGCTATGAAAACAGTTAAAATAAAACATCACTTTGTGGTGATCTCACTGAAATATTTAACCAAAATGTTCCCTACCAAAATGGTTGATTTGGACCTAATCCTGAAAAACAAATTAATGTTGTAGGATATTCTACAGAACAACTGAATTCTAAAGTGTCAATATCATAACAACCAAAAAAGTTGGAGGGAGGCTTCTGTAGACTAGAGAGACATAGAAACCAAATGTAATGTATGGTCTGATCAGATCCTTGATCAAAAATGATAACATCTTTGTTCATAGACAATAGTACATGCTGAGGTAATTAGGGGTTAAATATGAATGGCAACTATTTGCTTTCAAATAGGTCAGAAAAAATTGAGTATGTATGGGCATACATAGAGAAAAAAGATAAACAAAAGTGACAAAATGTTAATAATTAGTGAATCTGGGTGAAGAGTACAGGGATGTTCACTGTACTATTTTTTCATCTTTTCTGTAGTTTAGAAATTTTTTGAATAAAAAGTTGAAAAGTTAAAAGAAGGATATTAAAAGATAAACATTTGAGAATATAAGGTATGAGAAACTAAGCAATTAGAATAAGGCGTGGACTCAGTCATTAAAGATATTTTTGAGATGGGCTTTACTTAGTTAATAGATAGGAATTGGCAACGGATGGGTAATCAATCAACTCTTCTAGTTGAAAAATGGAGTTTGCTTTGCTGTCATGTAAATATCTTTACATTAGAGAACATCATGTCTTTAAAGTAGCCATACCAAATACGTGATTAGCAACATCTTTTATGATTTTTCAAAAAAATTCTTTTTTGCTTTCATATGTTTAGGTCTACGATTATATTTAACTCCTTTTGTTAAAACATTGGAAATATCTAGAATTTGTATTCTCTGAAGAACAACGTAAATTTTTTTCTTTTAATTCACTCTCAAGCCACCTTTAGGTTATCTGCATTAGAGCCCACGGTTCACCAGGAGTTGCAGATACTTTTCAGAGCAGCACTTTATATGAATTTTCTCCACCTATAATATGTATGCTAATCACTGGTTAAAATGCAGATTCAGATTCAGAAGGATCAAAATGGAGCCCAGTTTTCAATTTCTAAACAACTCCCACTTGATGCCAAAATTAATGCTGCTGGTCTTTAAACTGCGGTTTGAGTAACAAAGATCCGGATGATGATTCTCAGTAGGGATATGGGAAGATGAATATTTTAGTCTTCCCAGGATGGTAGGGTACTTATCTTTAACTTATTATTCCTACCTCCCCTACAAAATCCACATTTCTTACTTAGACCCAGAGGCCCTTTTTAATCTAGCCCTTGTGTGCACCAACTTCTTATCCACTAGCCACACTGGCCTTGTGTTTCATTGAATGCGCCAAGCCTTTCCCATTTTAAGGACTCTGCACTTATCCTTTCCTCTTAGAATGCACTTCTCCTGACTTCTTCAAGAGTTGGCTTCATGTTATCCATTTAAGGTTTAATGACATCCTCTTAGAAAAACCATGCCTTTCCATCCTACATATTAATTACCTCTTCTAAGTTACTGTGTACCATATCACTCTTGTTGTGTCTTCTCTGGTACTAGTCAGCTTACTAACTTATCTTACATATTGGTTTGTTTACTGCTGGTTTTTTCCTCTATTACAAGATCTTTAAGGACAGGAACTTTGTCTGTCTTGTTCACCACTATATCCCTTATGTTTAGCATAGTGCCTGAGACATAGTAGAAACTACATTTTTTGTTAAATAAATGCTGAATGAATGAACAAATGGACCAACATAGATTTTGATAGCGGTAGATGATAATAATTACTGGCAGAGTGAGCCCCTCTGATTGACAGCAGTATGATCTATTCTTATCTCTCAGCTGGATTGGGAACCAGCCCCCTGCCATATACTCCTAAAACAGGTTGAGCAGCACAGCTCTGAACTTTGGTGAAGATATGTTCAATTACTGCAAACTTTTCTATATTTTTATCCAACCACTACTTTGTTTTCCTGTTAGTGTAGAAAACTTTCTGCCTGGCTTAGTCTCATAAAAGTACCCACAGCCATACAAGAAATGTTTAAGTAAATGCATCAGTGGGAGTTCAGTATATAGTAATTACTCAAG